AGCTTAGTTAATGCCTTGCGGAAAATGTACATAATATGGGTGTTAAAACGCAGGTAATTTGAGATGATTACACAGATGTATTTATAGGAAGTCACTTCGGCTAGGACTGTATTGTTAATAAAATAATTATAGGAAAAAAACTAGTTTTGCGGGCTATATGCATTCGAACACATTTGTTAACATTTCGGGACATCTGCCACGAGTTACACCAATCGTAATTCCTTAATTATCCATTGTGATGATTAAGGAATTATATGTTTTTGTTTCAGTATAATGTGACATTCTTTGACCACACATATTACGATATAATAGAATGTTAAAATTGTTGGCAAAGACATTTTTAGTTACCGTTTCCGACTGCGAAAATATAATTGGTAATGGTGAATCTGTTGTTAAAATATTTGGCGTCATAACAACAACTTTATAATCTCGTACTAGGTGAAATTGCAGCATCCGTAGGCTTTGGAATAATAGGGCGAAATGAGTATTATATTGTGTGTTGGCAAATATCCTTATTGCACGTTTTTGAAGTGTTATAATTAACTTACGTGACTTTGAAAAGTGAAACACCAGGATTCCACACAGTGTTGGAAGTGAGTGTTAAGGATGCTGAAATGTATCAACCTAAGTGCTTCACTATCAAAGTATTGACGTGTTTTAACTGAACTGTGTATAGAATATCCTAGTTTTTTGTACCAATCTTCTGTATTCGGCTTCCAATTAAACGATATATCAAATATCACTCCCAGACATTTATTAATTTTACCCTTTGAATATGTTTATTTCCTATCTTAAGATCACTCACCCCAGTTGTAGTACTCCAATGGGAAATGATAATGCAATGTAATTTATCTTTTGTAAGTTTAAAGCTAATTTTCTATAGAGGAACCATCTCTCTGTCAGCTTAAGTTCGTTTCTCATTTCTGACTGAATTAATTCTAGAAAATTTCTAGAGATTAAAACAGCAATATCATCAGCATACATTATAGTTTGCAGTTTGGTCGTAATATTAGCTCGATCATTTATGTACATTAAAAAAAAAAAGTACCGGTCCCAGCACAGAACTTTGGGGAACTCTTGTCAACACAAACTCACAAGTTGAGAATTGTTCCTTTATAGACCTACGAGATGGGTTTGAGATGATAGGTTACTCTTAAAGAAATCAAGAGTAAAACCTCGAAAACCATATATTTGTAATTTCTTCAAGGGTATGCCGTGATCTACCTTGTCAAGTGCTTTTTTATGTCCAAAAATAAGCCAACAGCAATGTTATTTTTTGTTTATTTTATTGTTAACGAATTGGCTAATTGCCAAAACTGCCGTATCTGTTGATTTGCCTTTTCGAAAACCATGTTAGTTTTCACATAAAATATTATTTTTGGTCAAGGAGTCTAATAGATGTCCAGATGGGAGGGGTTGGACCCGATTTTAAAGTATCTTCACGGCAGAAGTCCAGCCGTCGCTCATAGTCCTGATGCTTCAGAACGTGCACCTTGTAGGTTCGCATGTTGTTCTGGTGAAGGATCCGACGCAAAGTGAGTCGGAGACGCCGAACAAATGTTCCGTTCTCTTCGTCGATAGATGCGGGTCTGCTTCGAACGCTCCCCATCCCGTACAATAGCTTTTTTTTCCTTTCCGGCGTACTGGCGAAGACGTGCTTCTTGCTGGCGATGCTGCTCACCTCCCCTAAACGCCGGATCCTCTTCCGGATGGTCCTCTTCGACAGAGGCCTGCAACGGCGCTCTCGTCGGTATCGACTGGGAACTTTTTTAAAGCTTGAATTCACAAACTTGTGTTGAGCCCGACCGAATGAGGGTTGCTATGTCAACATCTGCGTCGGCTCCAACGAAGCGGGTTAAAAACTGGTTCTGTTGGAGCCGTCGCAGCTCTTGTGATAGAAACCCTGTGTCAGGTTCGTTCGGGAAGGTGAGGGAGAATCATGGAAGCCAACGCCAGCGGGAGAACTCAAACGTACTTTACTGTAAGAAGAAGAAAAAAAAAAAAAAGGAAAAAAGAGAAAAAAAAAAAAGAAAACTGGAATACGATCAGCGTCGGATAAATGAAAAAAATATTGCATTCAAAAGTTAAGATATATACTGTCAACACAAATAGTCATCACCCTGTATAGTCACCATGGGCTGTGGCGGGTGGATCGTCGTTGGGCGGATCGTCGGAGAATGATGTCCGGCCCGCTGGTGCCCTTCGGACCAGCTGACGATGCCGAGCGCGGTGATCCAAGCTTGGCGGAGTCGTTTGCGAGGATGGAACGTAGCCGACCGGTTCAAGCCTGACGGAGTCGATTTCGAGGACGGGACATAGCCGACCCGAGCTCCGCAACCCCAGAAGACAGCCGTCAAATCTCGCGCCTCGTCGGATTGCTTCGAACCCCTCTCGCGCCTCTTTATTCTTCTTCTTTTTTCATGCTGCCACAAATCTCTCCTTCGTTCCTTTTCTTTTTCCTTGTCTTATAAATCATGACAATACCCCCGAACTACGAGAAGTTTATTCCCAGAAACTTCTTTCTTCACCTTATCTTCTGCCCAGGGAATCCTTCCGTCATCGTCGGCCCAAAATTGAGGCATGTAATCCAGCAGTTCCGCACCTCGTCTTCATCGTCAACTTGGCCACGCTGAACTCTTGCAGGAGTCACATTTGTTTGGTTGATGCACCATGCACAGCCACACCGACGCGACTGCACGGTACCGTTACACACACGCACGCGCGCACACAAAAGGAACGTGTTTTATATTTAAAAAAAATGAAACAGACATGAAAAATATACAAAAAATACAGATTGGGCATTCGATACACTTGATTTTTATCAATTAGTTGCCACCTATAAAGCAAAAACAAATAAATAAAGCCTAAACGCGACTTAAATAGTCCGCTCCAACGTTGTCTCTACCTTTTATGTATTGTACACTGAACGTGTGGTCTTGTAGAGCCATGCTCCACCTCATTACTCGGCTGTTAGTGTGTTTCGCCTTGTTGAGGAACTCTAGCGGCTGGTGATCAGTCTGAACGCGGAAGGCTTTTCCATAAAGAAACAGCTTAAACCTAGTGACTGCCCAGACCAGTGCAAGACATTCCTTCTCTACAGTAGCAAAGTTCCTTTCGGAGCTACTGAGTTTACGACTCGCGTATGCAACCGGGTGAAGTATTCCATCTCTCTCCTGTAGTAAAACTGCTCCTAAGCTTGCTTCAGAGGCGTCCGTGCGCAGCACGAATTCCTTTTCGGGGTCCAGTGATAGCAGGATGGGAGGTTGTCCAAGTCGACTTTTCAACTCCGTGAAGGCCTCCTCTTCTCTTGGGCTCCACTCAATATCATTGCGGGCTCCCTTTTTCGTTAGATCCACTAACGGCGCTGCGATATCTGCGTAGTTTGGTACGAACTGTCTATAGAATCCCGTAAGCCCGAGGAATGACCGAACTTGGCGCTTCGTTTTGGGTCTTGGTGCGTCTTGAATCCTTTCCAGGATCTTTGGGTCAGGAGCGATATTCCCCAGTACAATTTTATGTCCTAAGAAGTTGATTTCGCTGAACCCTATTTGGCATTTATTTGGTTTGATCGTAATGTTGGCTTCGCAAAGACGCTCAAAAATCGTCCTGAGTGTTTCCACATGCTTCTCCCACGAGCTCGTCGCGATCAAGATATCATCTATGTAGTGATATGCATCTTGAATACCGTCTAGAACCTTTCGCATTAACTTGGTAAAAGTAGCAGAGGCGGTCTTGAGGCCAAAGGGCATATATCTGAACTGGTAGTGCCCGCTTGTTGACGAAAACGCCGTCTTCTCTTTTGCGTCTGCTTCCATGGGAATTTGCCAGTAGCCCTTAGCTACATCTAATTTCGAGAAAAACCTCCTGTGTCCCGCTTTAGCAAATGTCACATCAATTCTGGGTATTGGCTCTACATTTGTCATTGTCGCGTCATTCAATCGTCTGTAGTCGACACAAAATCTGTTTGATCCATCCTTTTTCTTCACAATCACGACCGGAGCGTTGTACGACGATGTACACTTCTCAATTACCCCCAGCTCGAGCATCTTGCTGATTTCATCCTCGACCACATCTTGTACTGCCAGAGGTATTGAGTACTGCCTCACGTATATCGGCCGCGTTGTTGTGAGATGAAGATCACACGTCATAAGATTTGTCCTCCCGGGGACATCAGAAAATATGTTTTCGAATTTTCTTAGTAATTCTTGCACTTGGGCTATCTTCTCGCTCTCTAGGTTCTTATTAATGACCACATCCTCACACCCTTGCTGTCTGGTCCAGATTGGCATCGGGATGTCGCATTCTTCGGCATCAGACTCGTTTTCGTCAGTTTCTTGTTTATTCACCACCGCATTGCAAAGTGGTTGATGTTGTGAGGTTTCTTTCCTTTCTTCATATTTCTTGAGCATGTTGATATGGAATAGCTTCTTCTTGCCTCCCACCTCTAGCTCGTAGTCCACTTCATTCCTTCTTGCTGTTACAGGAAAAGGTCCTTTCCACTGCATGATCATTTTGTTATGATCGGTGGGGAGAAGAATGAGTGCTTGATCTCCCTGTTGCATCCTTCGGTTAGAGCTCCTTCTGTCGTAGTAGCCTTTGTATTTCGCCCTCGCTTCTTCCAGGCAAGTGTGCGCTAACTTGCACGTGTCCTCCAGCTTTTCTCTTAGCTCCAGCAAGTATCCGTACGAAGTCTTCAGATCTTGTTTGAGAGCTTCGTTTGACCACATCTCTCTCAGAATAGCCAAAGGTCCTCGCACTCTTCTCCCGTAGAGTAACTCGAAAGGCGAAAACCTGAGGCTCGACTGTGGAACCTCTCTGTAGGCAAACAGTAGAGCTGGAAGGTATCGGTCCCAGTCCTTGGGCCTCTCCTGGCACATCCTTCTTAGCATTTGCTTGATTGTGCCGTTGAATCTCTCCACCAAGCCGTTGCTCATGGGATGGTACGGGGTGGTCAGGAGGTGCTTCATTGATAGAAGTCGACTCACCTCCCTCATTAGTTCTCAGGTAAAGCTGGTCCCGCGGTCGCTAAGGATCTCTTGTGGCACACCGTACCTCGTGAACATCTCCACCAGTGCTTCGGCCACCTGCTGGGATCCAATGCTCTTCAACGCTACCGCATCCGGGTATCTCGTAGCCATATCCACCATTGTCAGTATGTACCTGTTTCCCGAGGTCGCGATTGGTACAATGGGGCCAATTATGTCTATCGCGACTTTCTGAAAGGGCGTCTCGATAGTCGGCATGCTTCCTAAGGGTGCCTTGCCCTGCTTGCCCTTGGGTACTGTGCGTTGACACACATCGCACGACCGAACGTATCTCTTGACCTCGCTCTGCATACAAGGCCAAAAAAATTCTTCCGACACCAGGTTGAGCGTGTTCTTCATGCCCTGGTGTCCTGACATTATGCTGTCATGTGCTAGAGCCACGGCGGCGCTCCTGAACCTTCTCGGGAGTACAAGTTGCTCTATCCTTCTGCCGGATGAATATTCAACGGCCCTATGTAGCAAACCATTCTTGAGAAAAAACTGGAACTTCGTCCTGCCCTTGTGTTTTCTGGTAGTTTCCCCTATCTTACCAAAACACTTCATGAGAGTTTTATCCCCCTTTTGCTCCATGGCGAGCTCCTCGGTTGTCGCATCGACCACTGCCGCCTGCGATACCTTCAAAGGTCGGTCTGGTCTTTCCATTTGACCATCTGCTCCCTTCGCCCTCGCGGACGCAACTTCTGCTGGTTTGTCTTTCCGGAGCTCGTCAGTACATTTAGACAATCTCGGTGTCATGCGACTATTGAAGCTGACTTCAACGGCGTTCGGAAGTGCTTCCGGCTTCGACGTTGGCTTGGCCAAAACTTGACCTTGACCCTCTTCGTTTTTAATTTCCCAGTCTGGGTTTGGATCATTGGCCTCCCGCATTTGGGGTATATTCCCGAGTACCAGATCATAGAGAGGATTACTTACACATTTTGCCGTCACCTTCCCTGTATAGTAGGGTGTTCGTACAACTATATCCGCCTCGGGCAGATATCGAACGGTGCGGTCTAGCAGAAACACCGGACTTGACTTTCCTGTTAGGCTCTCTCGGGGAACCAACTCCTTACGGACAACGACGGTGTTACACCCCGTATCCCTTAATACCGTTATCTTGCGCTCCCCGAGACGGCCTTCCACGACCGGCATGTACTCTACTAAGAACTTTGGAGGTGTTCCCATGGCCGCGTTTACTACCGGGATTTTGTCACCATTATCCAGTGTTACGTAGGAGTCGTCAGGCGCGTCGACGGCCCCTGTTGACGCAGTCCATAGGCACGAGGCTCGCTGCTTCTCGTTCTGCCTTCCCTTGCAGTTTTCCGCCCTATGACCAGCGCGGCCACAATTCCAACACACCACTGTTTTCTTGCCTTGCGCGTTGCTTCTGCAATTTTCGGCCTTATGTCCAGCCTTCCCACAGATGAAGCAGCGGATAGCTCTTCGCGTCTCTCCCCTTGCGTGAGTGTCTCCGTTTCCAGCACCTTGCCTGGTTGTCATCTCGTCTGACTTTTGCCTAATTGAGCTGGATGGTATCTGGGCTTCTAGGAACAGGTCTGCCTTTGCTGCTACGTCTTCTAAAGTCTGAGAATCACGCTCTCTAAGAAAGACGGCCAGTTTGCTGGAGCAGGTCAACATGAACTGTTCCACCAGGACCTGGTCTCGTAATGCCTCGAAAGTCTTCTCAACTCCAGCTATCTCGAGCCATCGGTCAAAAAATCCGGCCAATCGGGCAGCGAATTGTCTGCGCGTTTCGCCCTTCTCGGGTTCGGCGTTGCGAAACCGCTCGCGGTACCCCTCCTTAGTATACCTAAATCTTTGGAAGAGCGCTAGCTTGACCTTTCCGTAATCCAACGCATCCGCCGGTGCCATCCGGCCAACCACAGACAGTGCCTCCCCGGTCAAGCATAAGCTTAGTGTGGTGGCCCATTTCTCCAAAGGCCAGCTCAACCCTGTTGCTGTACGCTCGAAGCGCAGTAGATACGAGTCTAGATCATCCCTCCGTTCGTCGAACTGCGGGATTAACTTGTGGGGACTCCCTCGAATTACTAGGCCTGGCGCTTCCCCGCGCTCGTCTCCCACAGTTCCTGCACTTTCATGACTAATCTCACGTGCAGCGATTTTCAGCTGCAGAATCTCCCTTTCCTTTTCTAATTTAGCGCACTCTGCAGCTAACGCTCTTTCGGCTGCTTCCCGGTCTTCCCTTACGTTATCACGTTCCTCAGCTCTCTCGGCTCTCACGCGCGCTTTCTCTTCATCCGCCCGAACTCTTTCTTCAGCTACCCATTTCTTTAGCTCGTCCCCAGCATACCCCAATTCCTTACCCAACGCGATTATTCGTTCTAGCTCCATATTAACACAACGGACTGAGCTTCCCCTCAACTCTCTCACTTCCCGGAAAAACGCAACTAGGATTTAATGGGCCTAGACGAATCCTGGCAGGCTCGCCAATTTGTCAGGTTCGTTCGGGAAGGTGAGGGAGAATCATGGAAGCCAGCGCCAGCGGGAGAACTCAAACGTACTTTACTGTAAGAAGAAGAAAAAAAAAAAAAGGAAAAAAGAGAAAAAAAAAAGAAAACTGGAATACGATCAGCGTCGGATAAATGAAAAAAATATTGCATTCAAAAGTTAAGATATATACTGTCAACACAAATAGTCATCACCCTGTATAGTCACCATGGGCTGTGGCGGGTGGATCGTCGTTGGGCGGATCGTCGGAGAATGATGTCCGGCCCGCTGGTGCCCTTCGGACCAGCTGACGATGCCGAGCGCGGTGATCCAAGCTTGGCGGAGTCGTTTGCGAGGATGGAACGTAGCCGACCGGTTCAAGCCTGACGGAGTCGATTTCGAGGACGGGACATAGCCGACCCGAGCTCCGCAACCCCAGAAGACAGCCGTCAAATCTCGCGCCTCGTCGGATTGCTTCGAACCCCTCTCGCGCCTCTTTATTCTTCTTCTTTTTTCATGCTGCCACAAATCTCTCCTTCGTTCCTTTTCTTTTTCCTTGTCTTATAAATCATGACACCCTGGCACTACGTCGGGCTCAACGCAAGCGTGCGAATCGCCTTTTAGTCCTTTGAGTACCACAGAACGACATCCGTGTGTTCCTTTTGAGATTGTTGCCTTATAAGGCACGAAAGTTCAGCGATACTTCGGAAGATAAGATCAACAAGAGGGCCGGTGTCCGGGTTTCCGAAGAGCAGAAGAGCAAGCAAAGCAGACGACGTCTGCTAGAATAATTATTTTGAGAAATGCTATATTTGAGCAAATGCACCCAAGCATTACAGTGTACATTTTCTTTTCTTTATACTAGTTGAAATAAAAACAGTGTGTAAGTAAAACACCGGAAAGTATTGAAGAACGATTCTGTTTTGAAGCTAAAACCAAAACCAAATTTAGCGGCTGTGACACAGAGGCAGTGATGCCGCCATCTATACGATACGGCGTAAAGCAGATGCGATTCTTCCACTTTTTTTTTTTTCCGGGGTCGTCGTCTGCTCGTATATATAAGTTCTTATTATCTTTTAATCTTTGATCCACGTAAGTTCATTCTCTCAAACTTTCTCAATCTGGCTTAAATTACTTGCGTCACATTCTGGCCAACTTTAAGCTTTCTGGGAAGCCTAGGGCCCTAAACTCGTCAAACACAAAGTTGGAGCCGAAAGTTCGTAAAGCGCGCCGATTGGATGTCGACGAAAAAAGCGCAAAGTCATCTTCGTGCTAAGCCCATCGGTTCGCTCCATCAACTTCGGCCCCAACTTTGTGTTTGACTAATTCAGAGGCCTTGGTTTATTGATGTGGGCTAAAAAGCCGGGTTTACCTTTCCCGATCGGACCCTGTACTTATCATCCCAGTATGTTCTCCCAAAGCGTAGGAATTGCAACGCGCTCAGTCAAACTCAAACGCAAATCTGTCAGCACGCCAACGCCACTACCCTCTTGGCCACTGACTCGACAGGGCAGTCAAAGCTTCGCGCTCGGCGAATCGATCGATTCGATGCTTATAATCGCCGGATCCCAGTCTCGTTGCGTGAGCGCGCGCAGAGACCTCGATCGCGTGGTGGAAGAACGATCTAGGTCTCATCCAGAGAGCACGCATAGGTTTAAGCGCCTGGTCAGTTTAGCGATGAACAGAGTATAGGGCCCATTATTTGTGCTTGGCGTGTAAATGCTTATCTATGTAAATACGCCCGTATGTTACCTGCGTATAGAGTTGGCTATCCATCTGCATGTGAATAAACTTTCTCCAGGACGTGCCTCTTTAGGACGTGCGTCGGCATGACCTGAATAAAGCTTGCGCTTGTCCTTATGCGAACTGTTTCCCAAATGCTGTTAGTGATGCAAAACTAGCGATAAATTGACTATCGATACTATCGACAGTTTTTTTCCAAAACTATCGACAGTACTATCAATAGTTTTGCGCCACTACTACCTGAACCACCCCTTTTCTTTTTTTTTCGGAACCTATGACCGCTCTGTCTTCTGGAATAAGGCATCTGCAATGACGAACGTGTTTTGTGCATGTTTGTGCGTGTGTGTGTGTGTGCCTGTGTGGTTTCTTAAAATGCTTCGTGATACATGAATGTGGTATTTTTATCCAATTCGAGGATCGATTTTCTTCTTTTTTTTTCTACTTTGTTGAGTGTTTATTATTTAAACGAGGAACAAGTGAGGGTTAGAAAATCACCATTAACGTATGTACCAATAACGACCTTTGTCAAAAAAAAAAGCGATGCAGAGATTACATTAATGTTGTACTTCAATCAAAAACAACAACAAAAAAACTAGTGCGCGTTTAAAGGATATTTTTAGAATACACTTATGTCTCATTAATACGAACTTCGTTTACTTCGTTTTATAGGTAATATTTTGGGGTACGAACTGGGTAAATGCATTCATTTTTGTTTCGGTGTAATGAACGACTCATATCACTAAGGACTTTTTGGGTGGAGACATGACTCAATTACTCAATTTCTCAGCGAGCGCTAAAAATAAAGAAAATAAACTGTTTCTCTCGACCTGCACCACCTGACGGTATAACAGGTTTAATCCAATTTAAAATAAAGAAAAAATGAGGGCCGTAATAGGCCAAAAGTTGTTTTAGTTATTAAAGCCAATTAAAAAGAAAAACAGGGAGGCAGCTCAACCTTGGCATTGGAACGAACTTGGAAAAATTATGCGGGCATTTATGCTTATTTGTATTTCGTTTTTCTTTTTCTTTGGAATTAAGTTATTAATTGTTGTTCCGCTTGGTCTTGCATGGCTGTACTTTTACTATCTGAAGTACTTTTACTGTACGTTTAGTGTACTTGGTCTTTTATCGGTGTTGTCTGCGCGCCGACCTTGTCTGGCCACTAAAGTGTTCACACTAAAAATATAGCCACGTTGGTAGTTTAGCCCCATGTTCCGGTACAAGTAACTTCGTCCAAATTGCGAGTTAAGAATTCAATTTTTGTGCGAGGCTCGTAAAAATATTAAAATAATGGGCTCTTCGAGAAAATCAAACATCTGCTGAAGTCCTTATTTTAAGCTCTTTTTGTTCACGTTCCGCGCATAAAAACATAACGAAAATGCCCAAGTACGCATCGGATCTCACCACCCCGTCGATTCCTTCCGCACTATAAAATCCGTCTGCTAGCCTGCCATGGTCAGCGTCACCATAACATCAAAGCATCTTTTTTTTTCTTTTTGATGAAGCGGGCGAACGTAGCAGCGTCTAAAGCCAGCAACGGCAGACGCCATTCTCCTCATGTCGTCTGCTAAAGTGGACGCCACAACGATAGCCAAAGTCAGACGCACCGTTGTGGAGGTAGGTGGACGCCGAGACGGGAAAGCGGTCGCCTGGCGAACCCTTGGCGGTTGCGACGATCGAGGCTTGTTGCATGCTCAGACCTGAGATTGTATCAAAGTTTCCCCGAGCGAAGCGAGAAGCGACCGCACGCAGCGTGCATGTTTGTTTGAAAGCGTATAGCTTGGAGGCCCAAGGGAACGTTGCCGTGTTGGTAGCACTCGCCATTCGAAAGACTGCGCGACTCTATAGCTTACATCAAGCTCCGCGTTTGCGTGCACATCTATACGGGGTGCAAGTTCGTCTGCCTTTTTTGCAGGAGTTGCGGTGGCGTCTGAAAGACGTCAAGCTCTGATTGGCTCTGATCGAAAGATAGTGGGTAGACCTCAACGCAAGTTGCCTTGAGGTCTACCCACTATCCTTCAATCGGAACCAATCACAGCTCGGCGTCTTTCTGACGTCATCACAACGCCTGCAAAAGAAGCAGACGAACTTGTGCTCCGCATCGACATTCGGTGATCATTGCAGACGGACTTTATCACGCGGAAGGATACGGTGATGTGGCGAGATCAGGTGCGTGCTTAGGCTCTTTCGCCGCGTTTTTCGATTGGCCGAACGTGAGCAAATAGAGTTGAAAAGAGGGACGTAACGCTGATGGCTGATTTTCTCCAGCGCCTAATCTTTAGCCACCCGAGTGTTGTTTTGTTTCTTCTCTGGAACATAGGGCTAAGATATCGCACTGCCAAAATATACGTATAATTTAGGATCCGTAAGCTTCGAAAATGCTATATATACTGTGCGAAATGTTTCATAAAAGGGCGAAAGCGGTATACTTTTAATGTATAGATTTGTGCCACGGGTATATCCGGCGTTGCCTAGTGTCCAGAGGCAGCCCCTTTTTTATATTCTTCATTGCATAACAAAAAAAAAGGGCGTAGTTCGTGAGAAAAAAGCCGTCTTATCGACTGGTTTGTCACTTCGAACGCAGCTCGATCCAGAAGGCCCCCCAGCTGGAGTACATCAGCGAGGGCGTGCTCCGAGGACTGCCCAATCTCAAAGTTCTGTGAGTATGTTTGCGAACACTT